TAGGAAATGGCTATACTGAAGAATTTATTCTGCTTAATTGCTTTATATTAAGTAGTTCTCATTAACCATGTTCCAACTTGTGTGAACAGAAATAAACGGAGTCAGGAAAACGAACTGTTTTAACCCTTCCTATTATTTAAAAAAAATAAATATTAGGTTGATTTTGTTATTAAAAACAAGGAATCAAATATAAGTAAAACTGATGCAACTCCATTTAATTGATGTGGGAATTTTTACTAAGTTTGTGCATTAAAGACCTATGGTCTGCCTGAAATTTCCAGCAAAATACAAATTCAGAGTTTCTTACACATTTGCCTTGAAGTTAGGAGACTAATTACACTAACTGATTTATTAATAAATGGGGCTTTTTGTCTAATTATTGTAAGTACTAACAGACTGGGGAACCATTTTAAATGTCTAATGTGCCTTGAAACCATTTTTTTTAGGTTAATTACATTTCTCACTAAAGTCACTATAGATATGCCCCTTAGGTTTTACACTGGAAGATTAAAGAAAAAAGTAAAGATGATTACCTCATTGGCCAGCTCCAGTAATACAGGGGCAGCTGCATTTTTCATCACCCCATTCAGGTACCTAGACAAGACAAAGCTAGGTCATTCTGCAGTGGCAAGAAGAGGCCAGCTTATACATGTTAGTAACCCTTCTGAATCTCTTTCATTTGGGGGAAGATACCCCAGTACAAGAGTATTTAATGGGAAATCTTTTAAGAAATGTGTATTTTAAACAATCGCTAACTCTCCAGCTTTGTTTCCTATTCATCTGCAAGATATATCCATCTCAATTAAGTCCCTAGTAAAAACCACAAGAAATCAAGAAATTAAAAAAATTTTGGCTCAATGACAAACAAAAATTGTATCTGTGCTACTTAAAGATGCATCACAGAAAAATAAGTCTCTGTTATTCACAATAAAGATTTTGGGTTTCGTATGACTTGCAACTATGAAGACATACTTTATATCCTATTCAATTCACTACTATGCACAAACCCATAAATTTTCAAATTTAATGAAAATTTTATCAAGTGGGCAGTAGTTTAAATACTAAAGGCTTACTTTCGTGCAATCAGAGTCTAACAATCAAATTAATATTCTAAAGGGAAAATAAAAGAAGAAATATATAGGATCCAATAAAGGGTGATAGAAAGTCATTATCCTATCAATGGCAAAGGCTTAATGTTCCCAGTTAAGGGTATTAGACCAACATGGGTACACAGTGGCGTTTCTGACCATGGCTTCACACAATCGCCTTCCTCACTTCTGGTACTTTCACTGTTTGATGTTTACAGTTCAATAATGCCTAAAACCTGTTCTCAGGAGTTGATGGGAATAAGCTATATTATTGGAAGCCACTTTGTGCTTTGCAGCCATGTGGAAAAGAACAATAGTTACCAACATTTGAACCTGCTCATTTATCCTATCTGTTTTCGCACAGCACATCATTACTGACATCATTAGAAGGCCACAGCCTTTCCAGCTCTATCGTTATCTATCCACCAGAAGCCACTCTTCTGCTTATTAGTTAGTCAATAAAATTCTTTATCATTTTACCTTTCTGTGGAATGGGTGTAACACCTTTACATAAACCTCTTCGCAGAGGATTAGAGGGCATTTTGTTTGCGAGTTATTCTATTCTGAGGCTTAATGAGTAAAGGAAATGATAAAAGCTTTTGGCTGTTACCTATTTCAATTCTGCATAAAAAAACCACAAAACAAGATGCCTCATATACATTTAAACATTGCAAATTTATAACAGAGAAAAAAAGGGAGAGATCATAAACAAAATACCCAACCAGGAAGATTTATATGAGATTAATGTTCTAAAACATGCATCTAGTTGATCAAACAGCAAAGCTACAGCTGACAATTGAATAATTTTCTGGCAGATTATTTCTAATGCTACTGGCAATTCCGTTATGGGCTAACAGGTCTCACACGCTGATGGAAATAGTGTTCTGAAAAGCTTGCTGATCCTTCTTGTAATTTGCCTTTGTGTTTGCCTAAATTTAAGACTACTAAGTCTCAGCAGAGCAGCAGAAGCTACTCCACTCAACTGTACTTCCACTTGCTCCCAACAGGGACCACTGGAAATGACTACCTTCAAAAATTGGTAGTTTCTGACTTAGGAAAGCCATGGCAGCACAATTATCTTCTTGTGAGTTGGTGGGAATAGGAAGGAGCATACCACACAGACTGGGGTTTACAGCAGTAAGATGGATGCTACAAAAGAGTAGAGGAGAAGACATGTTTGTCATGTTTATGCTTGAAGCATTTCAAACTGGCTTCTGACTCAAGTAGTCTGCCCCTGTAGCTTATGAAGCATACTACACAGTAAATCTACTAAAACAGGATTGAGATGAGTTTTCTAACTATTAACCAGAACATCTCTGATTTTAAAACATGTGCATTTTATTCGGCCATGTTAATACACTTGCAATATGAAACACCCAGAAATAGCACAAAGAATGATTTTCCCTACCACCACCGTATAGCTTCATACATAATGCATCAGTTATGTACTGCTATCATACTTCAGACAGTACAGAAGAGGACAGGAGACCAAATCCTCCTACCTCAAACTTAATCATACCTACAACCTTACTGACATCAGTACAACTGCTGCTTTGCATAAAGCAAAATTTGGTCCCATGTTTCAGGTTTAAGTTGTTGGAACTAGTAACACATCCTAACAGTGATTTAAACGATTTACATATGTTCTAAGAAAAGTGTTATCTACCTTGCAGTTACAATTAACAGAGGGCACTTCACTGAAACCGTACTAGTGAAAAGTAATTAATAGTATTGTATACACATGGTTATTAACGCAACAAAATTTTAAGCCAATATTCTTCCTAAACAAGAATGAACACTAGGAGAAGTGCAATGTGATCCAGCACAAATTTGTCCAGAACAACACAACTACTAAGAAAAGCAAATCAAACCTCCAAAACAGCACAATTCATACTAGATATCTAAACCAGTGTCTGATATATTCAGGCTGTGCTTAGGTTTTAAATATATGACTTCGCGGAAGCACAGCTAATTGTTTACAAATGAAGGCTTTTTGTTTATTTTCCTGATTCATATAGATTAATATTAAGCATAAATATCAGACATATATAATCACAAGTATGAACTCACTTGCCATGCAAGCTCCTCAGATATGTCAGTCTACAAAGTAATATTTTAATTGCATATCTTTACCAGTTATCAGTATGCCCCAATTATGTCACTGCAACATTTTTAGTAGAGCCTATAGAAGTAACAGACAAACTCTTAAGGTGTAGCAAATACAATTTATTAGCTTAAGATGCAAACAATTGTAAAATATTGTAAAATGACATAAGAGTTTTCATCCTCCCTTAACAGCTACTTCTGACACTTCAGTTGATAAAACAGGAGTGATCTAAAAATTAGTGCTTTAACTGGCAATACATGAATTTAATATGTAACTTTTTGTAATGCAACACAAAAAAAGTAATAGCAACTGTAACAGAACAAGCTCCCTTACTGTAAGGAAGTTATCATCAATATTAGTCTTGACTCAGAAATCCTGTAATTACAAACTATAGGCAATATAGAATAAATGCTATCACATACACTGTAAAAAATATTTGCTTATCCTGACTTAGAGTCAAGGAAGTAAACCTTTTCGTAATCGGACTGACCAAAAGCTGAAAAATTTCCTGCATTTTCACTGAGAAACATTTTTAAGTGAACCGTTCTGTATTCCTCGTCCCAATTTTTTATTTATTTTTCTACAAAATTAGCTTCATATGCTGATAAGCTAATTTACCCATAATTGCCATAACAATTAGTAGTTTTGATGATACTCTTAACCAGGGTGGGGAGGTCATACCTTTGGTAGTAAGTTTCAATAGCTTCAGCAGTGTGATGCTTGGCATGTGTTCTTTTGATTTGTTTCTAGAAAAAACAAAAAAATCCAAACAGAGTCTTACAAATGTGTCATAGCTCAAAACATAGAAATCATGACTACCCAAACACATATTCCTTGGCTACACTTTGATATATAAACTGAACTATGTTTTTAGATTCTATACAGAAATGACATTCAATCTACCTAGTGAATTGAACGTCTTCAGACTGTACCGCAATGTACCATATATGTAAAAGCCAGTAAGGTCACAATAATTGAATCTAAATAAGTTTACTGAAGGCTGCAGAGGGCAAAGAAAAACTTGTTCTCTCTTTCAACCTTTGTATTAATTTTCTCTCAATTCAATTCCATCTAAGTCTGGTGCGCTCTAGTTTTACAATTCAATTGGCATTTTTAACCAGGAAGAACATTGCTTAAAAACAACTTATTTGAAAAACTACAAAAAGTAATTCCATAGAGACTTGCCACTTGACTGACACCTGTCATCTCATGATAAATGACTCCATTTTCTGCCTCTCTTGCCTTCTGCCACTCCGGCAATGGTCATTTATCATCATCTCTGTCAGCAATGGAAAGCAGCACTGACAGTGCAAGTCAGCAAACATTTAGCACATGGAACCACGCAACACAGGGAAATTATTATTGTCAGAATAATAATGGTTTAGCATAATTTATTACAGGTCCACCAAATAAGCAAAGGCTAGATGTTATTAGACAGATGGATGGGTAGGCTTGGCAGCCATCCACTGAGACTCAGGCGGTGCTTGATGTGGAAAAGGGAACATCCTCCAAACCAATCAGAAAGCTGGCAGTTCAATTACAAAGAAATAAAGGGACATTCATCATTCAATTAGGCACCTGTCAACCCTCACAAAGGAGAAAACTTCTAACCTGGTACTCCTGGGAGAAGATGCTCAGCAGAGTGGACTGCGATTGACTGGAACAAATAAAAGAAGGACAAAGTTAATTACTGGAGTGCACTGCAAAGAAACAAAAGAGAAGGGAGCTTCAAAGGTAGGCCTGCTGCCCTGTAATCTAACAGAACATGAAAACAAGTGTGGAAAAGTTGTTCCAGATGAACACCTCAGACAAAGGCTTCCTGCTGCTAGGTCAAGGAGAGAGCGTACGAGGGAGGGGAGGAAAATACAGCAAGAGTTTCAAAGCAAACGATCATACTGTTTGGGTGATTCCCTTTTCAGCTTTGGAACACACAAAGTCCTATCAGGAGCAGGTAGCTGAGTTAAAAGGGAACAGGCAAAAAGGAAAACAAAGCAAAATTTCCATTAATAATTGATGGAGTTAAATTCCACCAGCAGTTGAGAACATGCCGCTTGTTCATTGGCAACATATTGAAATTCATTTTGTTAGCAGCAAGGGAACCTCTTCAGTAGCTGTCTCATATTCAGGTTAAAAACTTCCCCCTCTGTCAGAAGTAGCATATGGGACCACTGGAACATTCCCACTGAAACTGATGTGCTTTGAAAATAGAAACTTTCACAGCAGGAAGCCGAGATTCCCCGGAGTCGGTCATTTCCAAAAGCTGCCATAAGCTTCATTCATCTAAGGCTCCACTCAATGTCAAACACCTGGCAATGAAGCAACCTGGAAAGCATTCTTCCCAAGTGGGAATTTTTCTCTCTGAATTGTTAACATTTAGAAATGGGACAAGATTTTTTTCCCTCTGAAAGGCAATCAATACCACACTGCTACTGTTTTCAATTGTCCTCTGTGGATATATCTACCTCATCACATCCTGAATACAATTAATTACTCCTGATATATTTTCCTACTACATGCAACTTGAACAAATTATAGTCTCAATAAATCGAGTTTTATGGTACAGCAAAGCATTATGAATAATTAACATTTTTCCTTTCCTGAACTTACCTACTAAGGCATAGCATAGGTAGTTCAAAGATTCAGCAAGGCCTAAAGTCTTGCTCTTCTGCCAGATTTCTTGTATGTGAATTTAACACCTGTATCACATCATATATACATTAAATGTAAATGTTCTCTCCATACTTAAATGGCCTTTCTCCCTGTCATTTTCACACCTCAGAAATACTAATTTAAGATAAGGGAGTCTTACTCCCATTTTCAAAAGCAAAAACTGAGGCACAGAATGACTAAATGGTTTGTTCAGGTTTAAACAGATGGTATGTCTACACAGCACAATATGAAAAGTTACCCCTAAAGCAACCAGTTGAAGCCCTAGGAACAAAGCGACTAGATAAACGCAGTGCTGTGTAACGAGCTTACCAGTTTGTCTTATCCATATCTGTGCTTACAGCACCTTTGCCATTACACTGTATTTAGGGCTTGTCTGCCCAGTGCAACATCTGTGTGACAGCAGTAAGCTGAGCCTTGATCTCTGGTATTTTGCACATGAGAATGTTCACCCTGAGTACTGACTGACTGAATGTTAAAACTGTAGAAAAATGATTGCAACAGACTGATTAATACACAGATTTATGAAATTCATGGATGACAGAAAAATGAATTACAATATAGTAAAGAATTCAAATATTCTTAAATATACATCATTTGACACAGAGGCCAGGAGCTATGTACCAGAATGCCCCTGCAAATGGTGCACCATCCAATCATGGCAACCTTCAACATGTACATATAATCATTAAAAGGTGAACAAAGGAAAGAAATTAAGATTATATACTTACACAGGCTATATACATATGCAAAGCTAAGGTTTTTCAAGTTGATTTATTTAAAAAAAAAACCTGCAGGCTATAAATAAAAGTTGGATACATATGGCCCCCTAATGGCTCTCCACGTAACTATTATTATCTGGCAGATTTACATGGTCATAATGGTAGAACTGAATTTAGAGCAAAGATGCGGCAAAACCCAAAACAAAACAGGACAGCATTTAACTGAATTTCTGGTTTGACTTCTCTTCCACTGACATACCAATTTTTGTATTTTTAGGCTATTCCCATTATGATTACAGTACTTACTGTACCATTATCCTATTACACCCACTGACATATCAAAAAAATTAAGACCATTATCTTCACACTCCTGACTCTTGTCCATTCTACTTGTTCCCTTGGTGTCCTTGGATTTTGCCCTTCTATTTAAATTTACTCCAACACTCCTTTCCTATGCTTCCAAACGTTCAGATCATTTAGGACTTACCACAAACACCAAAAAAATTCAGTCCAATAACTGAACAAGTTGGATATATACTGGATTGCTGTACAAAACCAGTATGACTGTGACAAAGCGAATCATTTCAATAGCACCATGCAAAGAATTTCAAGCTTTACTACCTGGAGTTCTTTCTCCTTCCCCGGGAGAAGCGGATTTGCATCTTCATATGGCTGATTCCACATTTCTTCTGGTTAACACAGTTGCCCTCTTAAACACTAAACTCACTTATTTGCTACTCAGCGTTCCCTTGCCATGATTCCATTGCCACAATTTACTGGCAAAATAGAACAGCTCCTCAAAACGCAGCTGGAGCATCTATTGCAAGATGCCATTGACAGAAAACTGAAACATCATGGTTTCAGAAAGCACTAAAAAAGACAGTACTGTGTACTTGGAGAGGGGACAGAAGTCCTGAACGTACATTTGCATTGCAAGACAGCACAATCACAACTGATACTGACAGCAGGGATACTGTCATGTAAGTTATCATTACTTCTACAGGAGCAGCCAAATTCCTAGGGCTCCATCCATCCTTTGATGCTTCTATACAGGATTTCAAAGCAGCAAACGAGTAGAAAAATTAATATAGCTAAGATATCCAGGAAAACAAACATAACACTGAAAATATCTTTTATTCAAAATAACATTTCAGTGCTGTATTATTGCCTCTCGCACAATAAACTTTACAGTAAGCCTCGTAGCTTACTGGAAGGCTAGGGATATAGACATGTTTATGTCCAGCAAGCTCTTTTGTGGAGCAGCAACTGTAGAGCCAAGGTACAGATTTGCTGATTTTCTGAAACAAAACAAACAAAAACCCCCAAACTCATAATTCTGAGTACTACCTAGTTTAAATAATTAATAAACCAACTTGTTATCCATCTTGTAGAACTAAATTTATTTTCCAGGAAAACAAGTAAACTTTCCTCTTAAGTTCTGTAGCAGACACTTTTATGGAAATGTTTTCTTCTGCAATTCCAGATGGTAATGGACCTAACTTCCAGAGCTCTGTTCAAAGCAACCAGCCACACTCTTCAAATATCCTCTTTGTCTTATACACCAGCATCCATAATGAACCAATTTACCTTTTGCTACTCTGTGTTGATGTCTGAATGCCTGATGCACTTTGTGCTCTTGTCAATATATAACTGGATTTAGGCAGAAAAATGTGAAATCTAATCTGCCACAAAATGCCCATTTTTAAAAAAAGAAAATTACTTTTATTTCAAAAAAATGAAATGGCATTTCTAGGTTCCAAATGATACAAAGATATAAAAAATTTGCTTATCAGAAGAAAAAAAAAAAGTAGTATTACAGGTATCTAAGTCCACCCACATTTAGAACAGGATGCCCAAGTCAGACCAGAACAAGGGGTAAGAACTTAGAAATCAGTCAAGCTAAAAAGACAACTGCAAGTTTGGTGCTGGAAAAAGAACATGCCTTTGGGTCATTTAATATGTAAGACTAAAATGTACACCATTCTCTTCTAATGAATCCCAGAATTTGGTAGAGAAGGAATGCTATCATCCCTGGAGACTATTTCAGAAATGTTTTGTTTCGCAGTGAGTATTCATATAAAAACTAGTAACAGATAATATGCTGATGCAGAGCAGTGCTTCGTAACTAGAGTTGATATAAAACTCTGGCCAAGAAGCAGCTAGCAAGGATGAAGAAGAATTTAATTGTATCAGATCATCTTCTCAACAAAGCAGGGTTGCAGATCTAGCCAAGATTTGGGGTGCTGTCCAACTTAATATTTGCTATTTACTACAGCCTCACCAGGAGAGAATCCAAACATGACAACTGCAAATACTATATTATCAACCCTTGCAAATAATTAATTCTTTGGGGATAAGTTACACTTTTGTACTTTATTTTCCGAGATTACTTAAAAAAAAAATAAATTAGGTACAAAACCAAGTTTCCACTTGTTTCATCTGTGCATTTTAACATGAGTTCCCTTTCCGTCACCTTTAACTCCACACTTTCTGCTTAAAATAGAAAGACTAAAAATTCAGCTTTACATTTCATGTATTCTACCATGGAACAAAGGAAGAGTATCCAGAGAGATCTGGATAAAAATCAAGAGTAAATATGAACTGCAGTATTTAATGCAGTGACTATTCACACAAGTGGAGACAAGCAGGGGGAAAGCAAAGTCCATCATGAGACAAATATGTATTTTATATAAATAGAATAGCCTTATTTTTTTTCAACACATGAAATCAACAAAAAAAATTGCCTCATTGCTTCCCTTTCACAAAATGGAACATTCCACCTCATTAAGATGATAAATATATTGGTTAAAAAACTGAATGTGGGGGGAGGAGCTGCATTTCAAAAATTCAGAAGGTGTTATGTGTGAAATCCCAAAGCAGCAGTGTCAAACTTTCTCTTGGAAGTGCATACAACATCGCACTTATTTATTGTAGGAATTCAGGTAGGGGGAGAAATTGTTTCTTTCCTTCCACAGTCTCCAGCATCAGTACGTAGTGCTGGTCATATCCCTTCATAAAATGTTCTGAAGCAGACAGCAAGAGTCTCTCATTTCTAAGAACTGGAAAAGAACTTCCCCTTTCTGCATATAGTAAGTCTTAAAATATTTTTACTAATGCAATTTTGAGCTTTAAAATAAAAGTAATACATACAACTTAGGGCTAGAGTTGCATGGTGCTGCCATGCTGGGTTAAGTATCTATGTGAGGAAAGAAATATATATATTTGATGAATTTAAATGACTGGGGGTGGAAAGGGAATCCTCACAGCTACCCTAAAATTCAAAAATGTGTGTCTAAAATACATTTTTCCTGTTACATTATCAAAGACATGAAAGAAACCCAAACAGCCTTTTAATTCTCATTTTCTATACTGCAAACGCTTTGGAACAGGGACTTCTAAAGAAAGCAATGTTTCTATACTGCTTATCACATGCTAACCAATCTGCTCTTGTTTCTAAAAACTCTGTCAAGAACGGATTTCAAATAGATCTAGCAGCATCAGTACGAATGTGTAACACATCACGGGTGTGTAGAGCCTCCTTGGCTTCCCAGAACTGCAGGACGTAGGTGAACAAACACCACAGTTATATCTGTAAATCAAGTAAAGCCACTCTGATGGTGAACTTCCCACCTGAGAGGAGGTGATAACTAGTGGATTCTCAGAATTTCTTCCATGTGTCAGGTTTGTCAGGATGGGAAAAAGGCTTCTTAGCAGTCTAAATCATTCCACAAGAGGATCCAGGAAGGCTCAGGAATAACAAAGGGCTACCAAAGCTTGACAACCACTAGGCTTATATGCAGCCAAGCACTGAGGAACATGAAACAAGGGAGACTCACCGGCCTCTAGAATAGTTATGGCTTTAACCTCTCTTCACTGCAGCTTTTAATATCAAAATATTTCCTAAAGCTTTATATGCTTGCGGTCACTTCTCGGAATGAAAATTCTCAAAAAGCAGATTATTGTCTCTGTACACATTTGGACTTTATCATTCACAAATTTAACAGTGATTTATTGGAAGTCAGAGAATTACCAATATAAGCTAAATCAATATACATGTCTATATATATGTGTGCATGTCAATATATGTGTTTAAATCAATATATGAGTTTGAATTGGAGTAACTAAGAGACATAAAACTACCTAAGTCTTTAGTTACAACACGGTAACTTCTGTAAAGTGGCTATCTTCCAATGTTACAGCTTTCCAGTTACAACAGTTCAAGACTGGGATACAAA